ACCTGGTCCGTCACTACAAGCCATTCGATAGCTGCCTTCTTAAATAGCTTGTCAGAGTATGGGACTACCCACTCCACAAGCTTGCGTTCAATTAAATGCGAGTTGATAACCTCTTGAGTGCGTATGGCCTGCTCCTTGCGAGCTTTGACATCACTGGGCAACATTGATTCAAATCCACTTGTTTTGGCCCAGGTTCAATATTTTCCCTATGCAATACTTGTCAATTTATATTCAGTGATCAATGAGCACGTACCGCAAAATTTGCCTCTGCATGCCAACAAAGAGTTGTAGGTTCACTGACAAGAACACAGCCTTGCCTATAAAATGTGGGTAAGTACGTAGATGGAAAAATATCAATGACTCAGGAGCCTTACGGACAGCCATTGCATTTCCGGTGCTTCTTAGTCTTCCTGTTGGTCCCTGTTTTCTCAAATGCTGGCCCAAAAAATTGATCGACATCAGCTGTTTTACCTTCGCGTGTCAAGGACAAGTCAACAATCGATTGAACATCAACATCAATCAGGATGCCATTGGTGTCAACTACTTCGGGGTCTGCCTGAACATGTTTCTTTTTTGCTGACAGTCTAGTTTTAGTAGATAATCTTCAATACTAGATCATGGTACTCACACTTGGGATTGATATACGCATTTTCCCGCATCTCCATGTCATCCGTCGAGTTGTTATCTTCAAAAGACTCCTCAATCCATAGTCTTTTTGTCTTGTTGGGAACATGTGAAGTCGATGGTGGAGCAGCCTCCGAATCAGACGCCGTGGAAGTGTATTCATTAGTAGAACGGCCTGCCGGAGATGAGCTGGGAAGTTGTACATGCTCAATGACTTCTTCCAGCTCTGCTCATCGTGCAGCCTCAGCAATGCGAAAGTTGTTGACGGCCTTTTTCGGGAAGGAAAGAGTTGCTGGTTCCGCTGAATGAAGCAGAGCTGCGGTAGGCTTGGTTTTGCATACTGGACGCATAGTAACACGAGTTTCTCCCTCGTCGTCTGATATGATAGTGGGCAGCATGTAGTAGTACTAGATAACAATCAGTTCAACAAGGGGAGACAAGTACTTCACCAGGCAATTTGACACTCATCATTTCTTAGCTAGTTGTTCGGGATTTTCGGATGTTCAGATGCCTAATATTGCAGAGAGTTGATAGACTATGTTCCTGGAATCAAATACTGATATATTCGAGATTTTGACGAGTTTTCGACACCTGAACGAAGAGCTGCAATTAAAACAAGGCAATGTTAAGTTAATATTGGTTGAATATGTGTGCACGTTGGGCGAATATCGAAGCCGGAGGGCATTGACATCGAAGTCGATTCTCGAAGCGACCGTTGCGACTCATCAGGAACAAATTGCCGCTCATCAATTTCTATTTTTACGTAAACGTTCCACAACAAAAAGCCAAAGAACACACTCAAAGCTGTGGCTCAGGCCACTGGCTTTGGCTTTCCAGAATCCCAAGCCGGGCCAAAGCCATGGTCCCATCACTTTGGCCCGGCTTGGCCCGGCCCACGGCTTGAAGCCGGGCCATGCACATCACTAGTAGCGCACCATATGTCAGATATGACACATGACCCATCAGTTGATGATCGAATGAACTAAAACTCAGTTTCTTGATCTGATCATCTAGGATGACCTGGGCCTGGGCTGGGCTGATGGGCCATGATGGCTGTGGTGAGGCTGATGACGGATGATAAGATCTTAGCATACCTTATCTAGGTTTGGGACTTTTGGTGATGCGGCCAGCCAGGGTCTTTTGGTCATTTTCCAAGCGAACCGAGTTCACATCGAGTTCAACTCGCCTCGACAGCAACACTAGACAACACACAGTGATTGGTTTGTGCCTGACAGCGGATTCGAGCCGGCATTGACCTACACGGCAATCTGCTGGCATCGCAGATATCATCCGTTGGAAAGGGGTGGATAGGTTCTTCCTAAGCCACAATGTTCAGCACATAAAAGCAAGCCATCTTCCTACTATCCTCTTTGGATTTATTTGATCCCATATCGCATCCTCATAAACAATGCGTTTTTCCTTTGTCCTCGCCTTCGTCGCCGCGTTGACAGCAACAAGATCTGCAGCATCAATACTTGCCAGTGACCCTGACGATGACTGTCCTTGGTTGTGCTTGACTTATAATGACTGCAAGAACTGCTATGACTCGATTGCATGCGTGAGTATGAATAGTTTGCGTCCTGTGTTTAACCACACGACTCACTGGTGTTGTAGTTCCTCTTCGGATGCGTTTCATGGGCCTAGCCTGACGCATGTCACCACACTTTGAGAGGTTATTTAGGTTGGGGAATATGTTGGGAAGATGTCAAGTAATGAGCGAATTTTCACGAGATAATAAAGAGATAACTGCGCCACAAATATTCCGCCATTTGTCCAAGTAATGTGGGCTCGTCTATCGAAAGTACCCAGACGTTCTGGGAACTGGAAGAACCCGAGAGAGGTCCTAGGACGTCTGGTTCGAGACTAAGAGAAGGGAAGGGCAAAGTCCCAGACCCTCATTCCAGATACAAGCAGGAAATAAGTAAATAGTACGTATCCCCAACGTCCATCAAGCTCCAACCCCTGTGCCGCATAGATATGATTACTAGTGTCGTCGAGTGCACAATCTAGTTTACTTAGGAAACACCACCTACAGCAACAAATTACAGATTCCTAAATAAATTACTCGGCGTCCCTGGCCTCGGGATATAACTCATGTGCCACCTGATCTGCAATGGCTTCCTCGTGGTCAAGGGGTCCGTGAAGTTTCCGAAGGTCATCGTTATCCTCACCAACCTCAACCTCTTCTTCCAGATTGTTGATGAATTCAGAATGCGCCTGATCCTCCGGCTCACCAATACTACTCACGCTACCCTCCTTGCACCTTAGCCTCCTCTTTTTCTCCAGCTGCTAGTTCCGGCGCTGCACTGGTTGGCTCGAACGTCACCACACTGATCTCCTTCTCATCCACAGGAACCGGCACATCCATCGCAAGCAACTGACTCTTGATCTCCTTTTGTTTATCTTTGGCAAACACATCTCGCCCAGGCTCCGGAGCGCCAATCGGGACGGCGGTGCTCTGTTCGTCTTGAGGCGGAACGACGGCATCTTGCCCGAGCTTGTCCTCGACCACAATAGCTGCGCGCCCACCGGGCTCACCTCCAATTATCGCCATCGGGGGTGTTCCGGTTCAAAGTAGG